TGTAGCAGATACTCAAGAAACTCCTAAGACTACTGCTGAGGAACCAGATGTGGAGCAAGGTTCCAAGACAACAAAGCAAGCGGGAGTTGAGGTTGAGTTGCGGAGAAAATCACCTAGTGATCTTGTAGCAGATACTCAACAAACTCCTGAGGTTGTTGCGGAGGAATCAGTAGTGGAGCAAGTGACACCTGAACCGGTGTTGAGAAGATCATCCAGTACTATTAGAGTACCAGATATGTATGTACCTTCATTACACTATTTGTTGCTGATGAAAGGGAACCACAACCCTTTGAGGAGGCCCTACAGTTGAAGGATACAACCAAGTGGGAGCAAGCCATGAATGATGGGACGTCTAGGCTTCAAAAATGCGTTGTACTGAGGCTGAGTACGTGGCCATAGCTGAAGCTGGAAAGAAGATGATATGGATGACTGACTATCTGGAAGAATGGGCAAGAAGTAGCACGAAGATATTCTTTATAGAGATAGTCAGAATTTCATACAGTTGGCAAAGGAACCCGGTCTATCATTTAAAGAGAAAACACGGAAGACGATACCATTTCACTTGCAGGTTAGTGAAAGATGGTGATGTGTTTGGAGAAGATAGAGGGTGCAAAGAATCCAGCAAACATGTTGACAAAATTTGTTGATGTTGGAATATTGAGGTTGTGCTAAGCCTCAATTGATACGGTGCCATGAAAATGCTCATGGTCGTTTGAGAATGAAATTCTTTGTTGACTAGATCAGTCTCCAAGTGGGAGAATTGTTAGGTTATGGAGCCTGCTACTTATTTATAGCTTGGTCAACGGTTATATCCGGTAAAGCTATATATGGTAAATAGCTATATATAGTAGATGGTTAAATCTGGTAAAGCTATATATAGTAAATAGCTATATATAGTAGATGGTTAAATCTGGTAAAGCTATATATAGTAAACTGAACTATATATATATCCCATCCGGTAGAGCTTTGAAAATGTATTTTATATTCTCTGTAATTCTTTCTTACTGTACATACGTGAAGTCATCAATAAAAAAAAAAATCCTTTTAGCCAGAGTTCTCCTTGCACTTTTCTCTATCCTGTTCTTTGTGTTCATCTAGATCGAGCATGTGCGTTGTTGTGCGATCCTAACATGTTGCCCAACCAGAAGGGTTCGTCATCAAAGCTGAAGAGCACAAAGTGTACAAGTTATCAAAGGCCCTTTACGATTTACGACAAGCACCAAAGGCGTGGAACATACGTTTGGAAAAGAGCTTAAAGAGTGTAAACTTCATGAAGTTCTCACAATAACAAACAGTGTATATAAGAAACGATGGGGTTGAAACATTCATTGATGGCGTGTATATTGATGACCTGATCGTCACTGGCACAAGTGTGGAAGACGTTAAAGAGTTCAAGCAGCAAATGATGAAAGAATTTGAGATGACTGATCTCGGGTTACTCATGTACTACCTCAGTATTGAAGTAGACCAAAGGAAAGATTGCATCACGCTATAGCAATCGACCTATGTTAAGAAGTTGTTGCAGCAATTTAAGATGGCAAAATGCAACCCGACCGAGTTTCTCATGAAAACAAAGATACAACTTGGGAAAAATGCTGAAGGAAGCTTGGTGAATCCCACCAAGTATAGGTGTGTCATCGGAAGTCTAAGGTACTTGAGTCATACTCGTCCCAACCTTTCATACGTTGTTGAAATAATGAGTAGGTACATGGAAAAGCCTACTATGATGCATCATCAAGTGGTTAAGCACATTCTCTGCTATGTGAAAGGAACCACAAGCTATGGGTTGAAGTATCAAAGAGAGCGAGATCCTGAAGAACTAGTCAGTTTTACCGATAAATATTTTGCTGGAGACATTGACGATAGAAAAAGCATTGCAGGAATGACGTTTTATCTCAACGAAATTTGATCTCTTAGCAATCTCAAAAGCAGCGAACTGTGGCACTATCTTCCTGTAAGGCTGAGTTCATGGCAACAACTACGGCGTTGTGCCAAGCATTGTGGTTGAGAAATTTGTTGAGCGAAGTGGTTAGAAGTGAACTAAAGCTGGTAACTTCTACATCGATAACAAATTCGTGATTGCACTGATGAAGAATCTAGTATTTCACGGACGCAGCAAACACATTGACACTCGCTCCCACTTCATTTGTGAGTGTGTTGAGAAGAGACAAATCGTTGTGGAGTTCGTATGCACTAGAGAGCAACGTGCGAATATTCTAACCAAGGCCCTGGCAAGGGTTAAGTTTGTAGAGATACGAGAATTGCTGTGAGTGAAAATTCTCGAACAAAGTCAAACTTACATAGGAGAATGTGAGTTAATAAGCTTAACTTAACAAAAAAAAAAAAAAACAAGTTATTAACTGAGATTTAGTAGTTATTGATTTGAATAAGTTTAGGGAAGATTTGTAACTAAGATTTGTAACTAGTTGCTTCATTTTTTAGCATGAAGTTTAGGGAGTTAGAAAGTTTAAGAGATCAATCAAGAAGATTGGTTAGTTGCTTAATTTGAGGAGAAAGTTTAGGAGATAAGGTTGTGCAATCTACTCGGTATGTTATTTTTAAAATAATAATAAAAAAAAGCATAAGTGTTTAAAAGTTCCTCTATTCAAAAGCTATCCCCTCAAATTTGTTCTTCTGCTTCAAAAGCTCTCTACTGAAGTTGTTCTTCTGCTTCAGTTATTTCCTTCCACTTTAGTTATTTGTTTCCATTTCAGTTATTTGTTTCGATATATTTCGATCGTGGACCATTCCAACATAAAAACCAAATCATTCCTAGAGATATTAACTTTTTATCAATCGAAAGTGTTAGTGAAAGAATGATTGATTATTCGTTAATAAGCGAAACTGTTAGTAAAAGAATGAGTGATTGAATGGTTAATAAAAAGATATATTATAAAGAGCGAGAAGGCTCTATATATATATATAGATAGATAATATAAAAAGATATTTAGAAAATCTACCTAAAAATTTTAGAAAATTCAGTAACAAACCAGTAAACAAATAAAAACTAAATCAAAACCTAAGATTTGATCAAAAACATTAACAGAAAAAATACTAACGGACATCAATCTAAAACAGGTGATCTTTAACACTTCTCATTGTTTAGATGCAGCAAACTCCAAGCCTTTTCCTGAACACCCATCTTACTCCAATTATCTTTCTATTTAAAAGTCGATCAACCAACTCTCAGGCTTTGTCTTTCTCGATCATCGAAAGCTCCTCCTGCATTGCAACCATCCAGTGTTGACTGTTTTTTTTTTTTTCATCATGGAACCCTATAGGCTCACAAACAGCTACATTACACCTTTGATAAATATCAAACAGCAACCTTGTACCTCTGACAGGTGCATCATCAACTAAAGCATCTAGTCGTTCATCTTCAGACTCTTCTTGTCGTTCATCTTCAGACTCTTCTAGTCGTTCATCTTTAGACTCTTCTAACATGCAAGCTTCAAATAGTGTCAAATCCTTCACAACTTTTGTTGAAATTCGAATTTGCAAGTACACAGCAGTGTTTGCTGCTTCTCCCCAAAAACGTTTTAGAAGATTCTTCTCATGAAGCATGCATCTCGTCATCTCCATTATGAATCTATTCCTCCTTTCACTGACACCATTCTATTGAGGAGGTATGCTGTCAATTGATGTTCAATTCCAGCCTCTTCACAAAACTTGTTAAAAGTTTCTGAAGTGTACTCCTTGCCATTATCTAATTTTATAGTCTGAATCAAGCATGCACTTTCATTCTCAACTCTAACTTTGAATTTCCAAAATACACCCGCAATTCCTGACTTTTGCTTCAGTAAGAAGATCCAATATATTCTTTTTAGATTATCAATTAAAAACAATGTAATAAAGATTACTATGTAACGATGGTGTCCGCTAAGGACCACAAAGATTAGTATGAACTAGCTGCAATTTTTCGAGGCTCTCCATGTCTGTTTAGAAAAGGGTTGCCTATGTTGTTTTCCAAAATTACAAGCACGGCAAAGAGGCATGTCATCATCAATGTTAGCGAGTCTTTTTACCAACTTCTTTGACTGCATCTCAAGCAAACCTCGATGATAAAAGTGCCCAAGTCTTTTGTGTCAAATCTCAGTGGCACTAGCTCTAGATATAAAGACCATCTGCTCTTTCTCCATCGGATTTAGAACAAAATTTTTTCCTTTCATTTTGACATTGAACAAGTCTTTGCCACAAGAATCTCTGATCAAGCACGGCTTATTCTCAAATAACCCTCTATAGCCCTTATCAAGTTACTAACCAACACTTTAGAGTATTTGATCAATTTTAGGTACAAATAAAACATCTTGAATAAATTTTGTACCTTCATATTTTATTATAACTACTGTGCCTTTTCTCTTGACTTCCAAGTGTTTATCATTGCCAATCCTCACTTTCTTGACTTCGGTGTCTTTTAATTCTTCAAAAAACTGTCATATGTCATATGACTTGTGCACCTACTATCAATCAACCAACTCTCGCTTGATTCTTTGCCTGAGAAACAAGTGACCACAAACAATTGATCTTCTTTTTCTTGATCAGCTACCTATGCATCTATTTCTTTCACCTGATCTTTGACTTTGTAGATCACAGCTTCATGTCCAAGTTGATTGCATTTGGAGCATTTGACGTCAGGTCTTCTCCAACACTTGTATGGTGGATGACATTTCTTCTCCTCCTTTTGTCTTCTGATATTTGGCAGATGAATCTCCATTCGTCGATTGGTTTTTGAAATTTTCTTGTTTTTATACCTGCGGTTGTCTTGATGCTTAACAGATAAAGCATCTTCAATCACCCCTTCTTGCCTCATAGATCTCCTTTGCTCTTGTGCTTGTAAAGCATTTTAGAGCTCCGTAAGAGAAATCCTTGACAAGTTTTTAGTGTTCTCAAGAGTAGTAATGGTGGCTTCAAACTTCTATGAAACCGTGACCAACATTAACAGAAAAATACTATCGGACAGCCATCTAAATCTAAATCAGGTGATATTTACTTTATATAAATAGAAGCCAATTCTGACAACATGCATACAGTTACAGATTCTATTTTGGATTTGATCTATCACCTTTACAAAGCTGTTCTAAGGCGAGTCAAGCTACATAACACAATCAACATACAGTCATTTCCAGGAGGGTAAGTTTGTTGCTACTATTGTATTGGAAGTTTATCGTGGAAATAATGTACCTAATACAATACAACAGTACATGACATGATGGCAGAGTGTCGCCAGACAAGGATGAACCTATCTAGCCAAAAGTGCCCTTATTATGGCTTCAAAATTTTCAGCATCATGTATTATTAGATGTCCAGCGTCAGGAACCTCATGATACTGAATCCATGGATGTTTCTCTGCTATAAGACGATTCAGCTCAATAGGAACCACATGGTCTTCACTACTGGACCAAAGATGAACAGAGCCATCGTTGTTAGGGAATGGATTGCTCAAGTCGAGGATGGGGTCAAATTCCCATTTTGCTCCCAAAATAGCCAGCATGTCTCGGTTAAGTGATTCGTGTTTGCCTTGTTGTGTTACTTTTTCCTAAATTTAGTAGCAAAAGTAACATAAAGTAGATTTCGCATATGAATTATGTCAAACATGTAAACTTGAAGCATAACTCTGTCAAAATGCTGTTGATATTAAAGGGTATATGAAATAAAGACGTGATAGATATTGTTCCAAATTGTCTTTCACTTAAAAAGTCAGATGAAACTAGGGAAGTTGGATCAAGTGTGCATCCATTGTGCATCTAGAAACATATGCTATTCAATCATTGATTTATTGCAGAGAAGAAAAGTACCTGTTCATGATTTAGGCATCCTGAAAGTCTCTTTAATATCTCTAAATCTGAATCACAGAACATGCCATCAGCGCCCAACGTTGGGAACCATTTTTGTGTCATCCACCAGTGGTATAACCAAGGTGTGTAACGTGCAATCCGATACGTCCGTTGGTAAGATTGAGGAAGCCTCCTAAAAGTCTGTAGTGATAATGCAGAAGGAACGGAAGACCACCAGTAATTCACAAAAGGAACCACTAAGGAAGCTCCTAGAAGTCTGCAAATAAAGTTCCATTAAGAGTTAGGGAAAGTCTAAAAATATCCAAAAGAGTGGGAACTGATCACAGTGAAATGAAGAAGTGCCTGTCTGGAATGTATTTTAGACAGCTCCAAACAGAGGATGCTCCCATTGAACATCCAATTACATAAAATTTTGTGCCGAGGTGCAATTTGTCTGCTAATTCTTGAATGTCAAATGCTTCAGACTTCACCGAACGTGCTGGATATGGGTCACTCTCTCCATAACCAGCTCGGTCATATAATACTATGTACAGCTTAAGCTCATCTATAAATTCCTGAAAATAAAAAATATGATAAAAATAATAAGACAAAAGCAAAGGGATTCTCGCTTCAATCGATTAGCGATGTAGAGGGCGTAGTAAAATAAAAATAGAAAGAAAATAGGATAAGGTTATTGAGAATATTTGCTAAAACCACTTTGTGGTGAAAGTTCTCTGTTTATAATCATTTACCAAATCAAATAAGTTGCGAAGGATATAGGAGGAGCAATAAATAGATACACGATATTTGCCTATAATAAAACAACAAATATGATACTTATGGTAAATCGTAATGGAAGACATTTGTTTATAATAGATGGTCAAATATGATACTTATGGTAAACCGTAATGAGAAAGGCTAAATATCCTCAATCATACAAGACATTTGCCTATAATAAAGGGTCAAATATAATACATATGGTAAACCATAATACAAGACTAAATAACCAATACGATCAGATTAGGAGAGTCAAAGATATATTTTAATGGTAAGGTAACAGAAGAAGAGATTAAGTTTGATAAGCTAATGAACTGGTATAGTTATTACTGCACATCACTCATCACCAATGTTAGGAACTTAAACCAATGTTTCAACCTTAAACATCCCAAGGACAAGAAGTTTGAGCAATTCTGGCATTTATGAGTAAGAGAAGAATAATGATATCATACTTGAGAGGCAGGTAAGTACATATCTTTGGAGCTATTGTAGCCATGGCACATAATGATTTTGCATTGAGCTTCTTCCTTAGGTACTCCAAATTCTCTGTAGGCCAAATGTCTACCATCATTAAGCTTTACTCTAGATGAAGTCACTGGAGGCCCATTTGCTGATCCACATATCTTTGGAGGGGAAGGTTTCAGTGCTTGATAAACCCATCCAAGAAGACCCACCGCAAATGCTACTCCTATTGGTGCAATCATTGCCTGAAAAACCCAGAAGTTCAGTACTATCCAAGTGGTTCATAAATAAAAAGACCAGACCAGACTTCGTGCCCTGTCGGTTATTACAGAAAGTTCATTAGCAGCAGTTAGGTGATTAATTATCTTATAAAAGTGAAACTCCCACATGTATTATCTTCCACAATCCCAAATAATAATATCACCGGGCAGGTTTTTATACTGTATCATACATCCAAAAATCACAAATAAAATGTGAGATCCCACATTGGTTTGGTTGGGGGAGAAGAACGAATCATTCTTTACAAGGGTGTGGAAACCTCTTCCTAGCCGACGTGTTCTAGGGAAGCCCGAAAAGGAAAGCCCAAAGAAGATAATATCTACGGGCAGTGGCTTGTGCCGTTACATAAAATCTACTTCAAATTAATAACAGCCATCTCTTTTAATGCAGCCATTAAACTGGCCCTCCAGTAACTTTCAAGTCAAAAACTAGCTAATGAGTATACATTATCTTTAATATTCAGTAAGCCTTAAACATAGATTAATTATTGCAATTCGGACAAAAAGATGATATAAGATTTGAACTCAAATGCCGGATCTAACACTCACTGATTCTTATACTATTACCATCCACACATCCGTTGAATCACAAAATTGAAAACAAGAAATTCAATGAATCAGTGTATATGGTAACGAATTTAGAAACAGCATCCGGTGTTAGATAATACAATTATATACTCTACAAACATTAGGATTCAATGAATCCCAAATTTGGATCACAGAAATCTTGGAAAATAAATTTTCGAAACGCATAGACATTAAATCGATTCAACACAACAAATCTGAGAAGACAATACGGGATTTAGATTGCTCAAATTCTGTCAAAGACACATAACAGAGTTTGGTTCAACAACAGACTAGCGAATAAACATAAATAAACTTCAAAGCCAGAAAGCGGGAAAAAAGGAGATGAATCCTTTACCTTACCAAGGTTTCGAATCACTGCCTGAACTTCCGCCTTGAATGTAGCAGGTACCGGCAGCTTAAAACGCTACAGAATCGAACAGAAACACTTAAACAGCAGGAAATACGAACTAACAATGAGGAAGAACAGGATTGTAGAAGATTAAATAGGAAAGATGAAGAAGAATCAGAAGGAAAAACCCACCAAGAAGAAATGCTCCGAGTCAAGTCAGATGGAGTGTTGACATGATTTTGCACAATTTAAACATGATCCGACTCTACGTGAACGGCCAGATTCAACAATATCCACGCGTACGGCAAAGATCAACCTTCACGTCATGCCAAGAACATAAAAACATCAAGGAAACGACAAGGAAAGGAAAACCCTCAAAAACTCTTTGCCCCAATCATTTTTCATACTGACCTTTTCATTTGATTAAATTAGACCTCAAATTTAGTTAAATACTATTGTTGTTGCTAATTTTCCCACCACTTTTTTAAAATATAAAATAAAATAATTAGGTGAAAATATATAAAAAAAAAAAACAATTATTTTCAAGAATTTCAAAAAAAATCACAAATATTAACAAAAATTTAACGTCGTGTCATTTTATATTATATACTTTATTATAATCCATTAAAAGAATATGAGTTTTTTTTTAAGATTAAGATAACAAAATATTAATAAGTAAAATATTTTAAAAACATAAAATTTAGATAACAAAAAGATAGTATTTAAATAACAATAATAATAATAATAATAAAACTTGGTTGAGAAGTGTTTTGGGAAGTGTACAACTTAAGTTTTAGTTACATTTAATTTGTGCTTTGGGAAGGTTGGATTAATCCAATTAGAATTAATTGTTTTATTATTTTTTTTTTAATACCAACTTTTGGGATTTGATTGAAAGTCGCAGAAGTCGAATCTAATGGTGCAGTAGAAAAGAAAGATGCTCGGAACAATATGAGAAACCTAAGATATATATATATATAATAAAATAGATTACAAAAAAATGTTAGTCAAAATCAATCTAAACCTAAGATATATATATATATAATAAAATAGATTACAAAAAATGTTAGTCAAAATCCATCTAAACCTAAGATATATATATATAATAAAATAGATTACAAAAAAATGTTAGTCAATCTAAGGGTAAAATAGTAATTTTGTCCCCGGGTCTCTAGTCTTGAAGGGGAAGAAAATATTAAAAGAAATAATGGAAGAGAGAGAAAAGTGTAGAGAGAGGAATTTAAGGTTTTTGAAGAAGGAAATGTAGACAAGCAATGAGGATTTTTGTCACCCTTGATTCAAAAGCTTTCTGGTGTGTTGAACTCTAAATTAATGTCGTGCTAATATACGAAAGGAATCCTCATAAGATTCTTGAAGGAAATCCAAGAGGATTCAAATCGGGATTGGATTTTGACGGAGTACTAAACGCTCATAAAGGTGCCAAAAAAGGGTTTCGATATGTTTATTTGTCTCAAATCACCTAAAAATTATAAGAAAAATACCACATCGACTCTAATTGGATTATGGAAAAAATGCATGCAGACCAAGAACTCAAATGACATGTGTCAGGAGTCGACTGGAGCAATGTGTTAAGTGGTTTGTATACATGTTGCTTGGACTTGACCCAACCCGGAAACTGAACCACCAACCCGCATGCGACCTGGTCCAATTACTGCTAACCCGAGTTGGAACCAAAAACCCGAATCGTTTACAAGCGCCTATTAGAGTGCGCCACATTTCGCCATCTGAAAACCCGAAGGTAAACTTTTATGCTTGTTGGGATTCACACGTTGGAGTTGCCCACCTACCCGTGCGTGCACATGCATAACTGATCACCCATCGGTGCATGGGGGCGCGTGAGACCCCACTTTTGCTTGGTTTGACTTTCGTTTACCTATTTTCCATCTCGGTTTTGATATTGACCTTAATTTAATTTGATGTGGGACCTACCAAAAAGATTTCAAGAATTTTGGAGCTTTCAATGAGAAGAAATACAAGGGAAGGCACGCTTCACCCCAATAAGTAGCCACACACGGACTCTAGACAAGAAATACATGTAGGGGTCGCTAGAACGTGCTAGCATGTAAGCTTATCTCACCTTAGGTGGTTAAAATATGCATGTTTAGAACTTATCTCACCTTAGGTGGTTAAAACACAATGTATAAGCATGTTAAGGGAAATTATGAAATTGTCCCTAGTGAAAATAGAAGATACAATATCTCCGTAGTAAAACATGCATGAATCAAAGTGACTAGGGTGGTAGAACTAGATTGGTTATGCAATGTCTTAAGTCAATACGTTTCCAGTATATTGAGCACCTAAGGATCATGAGCGATGATCAGAGACCTAGATGTACCCCGAGATTTGGCTTAGCCACAAAGAGCTAACCTTGAAAGACTTGAAAATGAAAGTTGTGACCTAATTCGCCTAGATGCCCTAGAACCTAATATATCTCCACAACACCCAAGGTGAACTACAGGAACCTAAGATCGATGGTAATGCGAACAAAACTATTTGAGAAGTCACTGTGTGTGTAGGATATAACTTGCCTTGATAGAGGACGAGGAACTACATGAATGGTGGCCCGAAAACTCACTATTGGGTGTAGAGTATAACCCACCTTGATAGGAGACAAGGGACTATGCAAGTAGACGATATAAGAAACTACCACTGTATGTATGAAAACCTGCCTTAAGAAGGGACAAGAGACTACATAAGTGGGTGACATGAGGAATTGCTACTGATGTACGATAACCCGCTTTGAGAGGGGACAAGGACTACATAAATAGATAGCATAAGGAATCACTAGTGTGTGTAATAACCCATCTTGAGAGGGGATCAGGGACGACACAGACAACTAATTGAGGATATACTATTGTGTGTAGAACAAATCCGCGCTGAGAGTGGACGAGGGACTATATAAGTATTATATTGAGGACTTACTATTGTGTGTGTGCAGGAAACCCACTCTGAGAGGGGACGAGGGACTACACAAATAGATTAACTCTTGGTAGACATCATTGTGGTGCGAGGTAACAATCAGGTAATACCTGAATTAGGCTTGAACTTCTTAGAGCCGTATAACTAGCCCATGGAAACATATTAGGTCAAGGGTGTGATGAGAACCTACAAGTAGATTGCTTACCGATTATTTAATATCCACCCTTTCCCCTTTTTTTCAGGTACGATTGAGGGGAGAGATGCCTGGGAGCTATGCTATCACAGAGGGGTGTCGACTTGAGGCGTTCGGGTTATTTTATATTTCTTTCTTTTGTTGTCATTTTTATTGGTTTCCCGCACCCGTCTTTGGTTTGTAAATAACTAGAACAATACATATTTTGTTATTGATTTGAATTTTGACAATGGTATTGTATGATTTTAAATCACCCCAATTTTACCGTATTTATAATTGCTTATTTTATTTTACTTTCCCTTTATTTATTTTTGTTTTTCGTTTTTTCGTCACAGTTTGATTTATCGAAAATATCGGGTAATGACACTATAAGATGGGAAGTATCAAGCAGCCGTGGATGAAGAAATAAGAGCCAATGAACGAAATTAGACGTGGAAGCTGGTCGAATTATCAAAAGGTAGTCAACCCATTGGAGTAGAGTGGGTGTACAAGAAGAAGATAAATGCTCAAGGCAGGATAAAGCCGTACAAGATCAAGCTCGTTGTAAAGGGTTATCGACAAAAGGCAGGGATTAGACTATGATGAAGTGTTTGCACCATTTACAAAGAAGAAGACAATTCGTCTTCATTGCTTTGGCAACTTTAATTGGCAAATTTAGCATATGGATGTAAAGTCGATCTTTTTTTTGAAGTGTACATAGAGAAACGACAAGGATATGGGAGAATATAAAAATACAATTGAACTTATAAAAATTATAATAAACAAGGGAACTCTCTCACGGAGTATGCCCAAAGATATAAATATAAAAAATTTCAACACCTAAACCATGGATTCCTTTTAAGTTATCTTGAATTATGTCACGACCTGATTTTCTAGAATTCAAGAAATCGGACCGCGACAAAAAGACGAAAGCAAAAACAAATAAAATAAACCAATAAAAAATAGAAAAATACAACAAGATTGTGCGTGATTTAAAGTAATACGCAAAAAAAACCCAAATCCAACTAAATAGAAATGTAAAATATGTATTATTTTATTTATTTGCAAATCGGGAACAATGTGCAGTAAACCAAAAGAATACAAATGAAAACCCCAAAAGAAACGAATACAAATTAACACTAACACCCTAGGTCAATACTCCAATGTGACGGTTCAGCTCCCAAACACCTCCCCACCTAGATGAGTACTTGAAAGGAAAAAGGGGAAGGAGTGAGTATAAAAAGGTACTTTTTTTCGGAAATACTCGCACTCTTTGTTAACATCTATCAAAAAGACTTTTTGTGGGAAACACTTGCACTATTTATTAACATTTATTCTTAAAATGCCTAGATTATTTTCCTAAAATACATAAATCATTTTCTTACGATAAATATACAATAAGTTCATACAATTATTGGATTTGACCCATTGGGCTAGTGACAATATTTTAACACTCCTCCTCAGCATTAGTGCTCATTCGCTTCACCATGTTGAGCTGACAACGAAAGCACTCATGTTTGTCAGTATTCCTTCACTTGGTCATCTATTTTGATTTGTTGCATCTCGATTTCTTCCTTCAGGACTCTCTCAAATCAAATGGTAGTACATCTTCATATACTTACTCTAGCATAAAACACCAAATACTTTGTTCTGATAGGCAAATCGCAGATTGGTTATCACAATGAAGTGGTATGAGATAGTCAATTTTTTAGTGCAAATCTTTCCTCGAGAGTTTCAGCCATGTAATTTCTTGAGCTGCTCTAGCTGCAGCTCTGTACTCTGTTTTTATAGTTGACTATGAATACTATTGGTTGTCTTTGACTACAACAATAAATTGTTCCCGAACCACACTTAAAACATACTTAGTTGTTAATTTTGAGTACCGCGATCTCTTGCATAGTCGGTGTAATAGCCCAAAATAAAGAAATAAACAAATAAAAAAAAATTACCTTCTTTTAACAAAAAAAAAAAACTCTCCTCACTTCTCTTCACTAACCTCTCATCTCTCCCCCAATTATCTCTCCTCAACCACACTAAAATATGAGAGATCTTGGGAAAAGAAAGAAACAAAAAAACAAAAAATATCAGATTTGGGAAAAACAAAAATATCTGGAAGTAGATTTCCTTGAAAAGAGATCAATTTATTGGGGAGGGAAAAAGGAAAATAGAGAGAAAAGTTTATCATAAGTTAGATCTTCATTTTTTTTTATTGTTTTTTAATTATTTAAAATTTTGTTATA